TGTGTCTGGAGGGTGGCTGTCTTGCAGGGTACCACAGCACGTGCCATGGGGGACTGGAGCCTGCTGGGGCGGCTGCTGGAGAGCGCCCAGGAGCACTCCACAGTGGTGGGGAAGGTCTGGCTCACCGTCCTCTTCGTCTTCCGCATCCTGGTGCTGGGGGCGGCTGCTGAGAGGGTCTGGGGCGACGAGCTGTCTGGCTTCTCCTGTGACACGCAGCAGCCTGGCTGCCAGAATGCCTGCTATGACAGCACCTTCCCCATCTCCCACCTCCGCTTCTGGGTCCTGCAAATCATCTTCGTCTCTACACCCAGCCTTGTGTACCTGGGCCACATCCTGCACCTGGTGCATCTGGAGGAGAAGGCGCAGCAGCAAGCAGTGGCACAGGCCAGCAGTGGGGCCAGGCGGCAGCGCCCCAGGCAGCCCCGGCTCCCTGCAGGGGACACGCGGGGACGGGTCTGCATGCGGGGGGCCATCCTGAGGACGTACATCTGCAACGTTGTCTTCAAGGCTCTCTTGGAAGTGGGCTTCATTGTGGGCCAGTACACCTTGTATGGATTCCAGCTGAAGCCCCTCTACACCTGCAGCCGCTGGCCCTGCCCCAACACTGTCAACTGCTACATCTCCCGGCCCACCGAGAAGACCATTTTCATCCTTTTCATGCTGGGGGTGGCCTGCGTGTCCCTGCTGCTCAACCTGGTGGAGATCTACCACCTGGGTCTCACCAAGTGCAGGCAGGGGCAAGGCCCCAAGTCCCGCATCCTGCCCAGTCCTGGTGGTCCTGTGGGGCCCCGCAGCACCCTGCCTGGCAATGGCAGGCCTGGGGCTGCTGGAAGACCCCCCCACGGCCTAGCACCCCTGGGGAAGGCGGGTACATGGCTTGGGGTGGCCAGTGGGGTCCACGGGAAGGTGCGAGTGGCAGACCTGGCAGTGTGAACGTGGCCTGCTGGCATGCTCAGGGATGGGTGACACATGGGTGGCCAGTTGTGGTTCTGCCTCCAGGCCCTGCCAGACTCGTGGCATGGACCCCACGGCCAGCATGAGAGATGGGCATGGCCTTGGGGACATGGCTTGGCTGCTCTCTGTGCTTCTGGGAGCAGTGGAGCTGAGAGCAGGGCTGGGCTGGGGCAGGGACCTGTCAGCCCTGGGGGAGCAAATAAACACCCATTGTACATCACTCGACTCCTGCTCTGCCCATGGGCACTACAGCATCGCTCTCCGACGGGTCTGTCCCATGACACACTGTGTGGCCAGGACAGGGCCTGGGCAGGGCCACCGCTGGGTTGGGCTGCAGCCCTATGGGCAAGGGATGGGCAGTGAGAATCAGGGCAGGGACAGGCAGGGCATGCCAGGCTGGCAGCAGCAGGCATGGGGTCAGGGGCCATTCCAGCACGCCAGAGCCAGCTGCACAGCGGGGGCCAGCCAAGGTAGGAAGCACAGGCAGCACAGGCAGGCCAGGATGGACAGGAGCGAGGTGCACGGCAGCAGTGGGACACTGGCCCTGCTCTCCTGCTGTGCCCACTCTGCCTGGGGGGAAAAAGCAGGGGCTGCCAAAAGTTTTCTGCATCTTTATTTGAAATGAATGGTTTCCAGAGACACAGGGTTAGTCCTACTGCCCTGGCATCACTACAACAAGACTGGTGAGCAGCTCACTCTCCACATGGACACAGAGAACAGATGGCCCCAGGCCAGGGCCCAGAACAATATATACAGGCTCAACAGGAGACCCATGTACAGCTCAAGAAAACTGACCAGAATACGAGGAGGGGCAGGAGGCAGCAGGGAGTGGCACAGCCAGAGCCACGTTCACCTCGAGCAGGGTGCTGGCACCCCGCTGCTTTGGGAGGGAGAGGAAGGCCAGGCAGAGCTCCTCGCTTCTGCTAGCAGCTGCCCGAGCCCCCAGCCAGAGCGGAGGAACCCACCAATGGCACCTTGCACTGGGGAAGGGGTTACACTGGGATGGGGGACAGTGTGGAGAGAGGGGCAGCACTGGCACAGACCCATTTCCATCACATCAGTTTTCTGCCAACTCAGAAAACATTGACAAAATTGAGGGGGTGGCCCATCTGCATACAAGGGAGGCGTCCCTGTGGAAAGGCTGGGTCTCTGCCCCCACATTCCAGCACCAGCTCCCTCCCCTCCCCACAGGCAGCCCAAACCTCTCCCACCCCTGGGAACAAGCCCTCCCTCAATCCAACAGCTCTCAGGCTGCTGGTGGTCCTTCCCCACTGGCTTT